TTGCTTTCTTCAATGCGGTGGAAAAGAAAATAGCTCTGAATTCGAGTGAATATAATGAGTGATGATGATGAGTGAAATGAAAAATGTCGAGTAAGACAATGAAAGATAAATAGAAAGAACAACAAATCAAGATATTGAAAACCAGTAGAACGAGAGAATAAGAGATCAGGAGAAATAGAGAGAGAGAGAAAAGAACAGAACAGAATATGGGAGAAAAATAATACAGAAAGAACGATAGGGAAATAGAAAAAGAAAGTGAAAGAGTGAATGATTGGGTAATGAGAGAATAGATCGAAGAACACTAGGTGATGATTGAAGGATGGGGAGAAAAGAGAACCATTCGAAATATTGATATAAATTTATAACAAATGATCAATAGACTTTGAATAGATAAATGGAATGAGAGGAAATTGCAAATAGTTGATGTCTGAAAGATGAAAAGCGACGCATTGACTAGCGCCCGAGCCGAGCGAAGCGAGTTGGAAACTGAATGTTCGTCTGTCCTAATTTTCGTTAATTGTTTTGTTAGTGTATATGTTGGAATTTTCGCGGTTTAAATAACAGATTTATATATTACTTTTGTCTTTCGAGATTCATTTTAATCCGAATCAATTGATAACAAAAAGACAGATATCGCGTGTCTCCACTCCAGAAAAAGGATCAACTTTCCCAGAAAATCGTCTTTGCTTTGAAAAAACAAGTATTGAACATACGAAATGATACAGACTAACATTCAATTTCGGGGAGTCGCGAAGCGACCTAGCGCCGAAGCCGAGCGAAGCGAGGCGAGGCCGCTAGTCGGTAATAAACCTTAACATGCGAACGACTTCATCATTGGAGTCGTTCAATTCATGTTTAAATCGAACGGTGGCCAAACGAGCGAACATTTTCAAATTCGCCTGCAATTTAAAACTCCATGAAAGTCGCAAAGCCGACACAATGTATCGGTTGGCCAATGACATTCCAGATGGTCAAACACAAAGTGAGCGACGCAAATTGATCGACCAAAAGCGCGAGGATAAAATACGACGATTGACTGAACAGTTGACAGCAGGTGAAATATCGGTAGCGGACTTCCTCGATGCTATGGCATCCGATGACGAATCGATCGATTCAGAATATGAATGGGATGAAGAGAGCGAAGAAGAAGAAGAGAGTGAAGAGGAGGAATGGAGCGAAGAAGAAGAAATGGACTTGGATGAAGAACATTCAAACTGACTTTGCTAAATCGTTTGTCGTCAAACTTTATCTCCCCCTATCACGAAAGTGTGTGCAATTTGCATTGTGAATGAAAGAGATATTGTTCCCAGTGGACTCAATTTAAATGTTCTTAGTCATAAAACTTTTTTTTCATTTGTCGAACTACTTAACAAATGAAATGAAGACTTTTTTGAAGAAAATATTGTAATCGATTGCTTTTTTTGCACGTTTAGAAATGTAATCAAAATATTCATGATTTTCTTTTCTTTACTTCTTCTTTACAAAAGAATCTTTACTATTCATATTTAAATCAATTCTATTTAATGAATTTCTGAATAAAGAATCTAACAATAAACATACATTCAAATAAATCGTATGTTTTTACTATCTCAATCAATTCAAGATGAAATGACACTACGCTTTTGAGAATATTCTTTGAGAAGACTATCGTGTAAGTATTTTTCAAACAATGAAATATAGATATGTAATATCCACTGGATAGTTGGAATATCAGTTATTTCGTTGCGTCGGCAACAGCGGCAGCCGCACTCGTTCGAACGAAGTGTGTGCGCATACACATCGTCGTTAAATTACTAACACAAATGAATGGTTCAGCGATGGACTGTACGTGTACGCGCGCTTTATCGCTTTTTCACCTTGCTTCGTCGGAATATATACACGTACAGTCCATCGCTGGTTTTATATGATTTTTCGAAAAGGCATTTTTTCCAGCTCTTCGGGAATTATCATGATAACAATTTTACTATTTCACGTTTATCAACTAATGATCATGTTTTTCTTGTGGAATTTTGAAATTTTGAACGAAATTAAGCAAAAAGTTGTGAATCTCATTGATTTCTGTGTTGTGTTTGTTTTTTTACTTGGCGAAGCATTCTCTAAGCTCTGAATCAAAGGCTCTAAATCAAATATCGTAATTTTCACAAATCGAGAGCCGGAAAAACAAAATGACAATTCACACCATAAGTGAAAAACCGCTGATTAATTAACCGTTTGGTGCTGATTAATGAATCGTGTTTTATAACTAAATCAGGAATGTATGGTAAATGAAGTAATTGAAAAGAAGCATTTACTACGTCACTTTAGAGTATACAAAAAAATATTAATTGAAATACCTTTTTGAGCCATTTTTCGTCCAAATCATGCAAAATTGTAAAATTCACACCAAAATTCATTCATTCTAGTTCTCGATTAAATGAATCACGAATGCGTCGTGTTTTATATGTTTATTCAGGAATGTGTGGCAAATACTTTGTAGAAGAATTAATCAAAAAGAAGCATTTATTTTCAAATGTAAATGAACATTGTTTGGTCCGTCGGTCCGTGAGTCCGGTCCGTCGGTCCGTGAATTTGGTCCGTCGGTCCGTGAGTCCGGTCCGTGAATTTGGTCCGTCGGTCCGTGAGTCCGGTCCGTCGGTCCGTGAATTTGGTCCGTCGGTCCGTGAATTTGGTCCGTCGGTCCGTGAGTCCGGTCCGTCGGTCCGTGAGTCCGGTCCGTCGGTCCGTGAATTTGGTCAGTCGGTACGTGAGTCCGGTCCGTTTGGGACCGGTCCGTTTGGGAACCTATGTCCGCTACCCCAATTTAGGTATTAAATATATGATTGAAATATATTTCATCAACCGTTACTAAATTGTAATTTAATTTTTGTTTTAAATTATATTTCATCGACCATATCCAATTTAGGTACAAAGTTAATTAAATTTTGATTTTTTATTGTGATACGTTAATAATATTATGTTAATGAACGAGATGAATCGTTCAAATAAAACAATGAGAACAGCTAGTATGTTTGGTGCACTATGAATGAGAACAGCTAGTATGTTTGGCTAAAAAAAAAATTGTACTCAAAATTCCGTTTCTCACACAAATTTTCTAATTTTGACACAATTTTTCCGATTTTTGACTCAAATTTACTAAAAATGTACACTCAATTTTTTTCATTTTTGACTCAAATTTTTTAAAATCACACACAAAATTTATTTTTTCCACTCAAATTGTGCAACTCAATTTTCTGAAATATGACTCAGATTTTTCAATTTTTTACGAAAAAATTATTTTTCTCACTCAAATTTCTGATTCGCACATAAATTTTAGAATTTTGACTCAAAATTTATTTTTTCGACTCAACATTTATTTTTTTGACTCAAATTTACGAATCACACATAAAATTATTTTTTTGACACAGATTTCACAATTTTCACTCAAATTTTTTCTTGTTCTATATTTTCGTTCCGATGCCTAACATATTTATAAGTGTTCAGTCCTGATATTTGTTGATGAACAGATAGAGAGAGATGGATTTTTGTATCTGAATTGATCACTTAGTGGAACCCTTGTCTATCTAGCACAACTGGAAAACTTGTGCTCGTTCAATGAAATTTCATTTCAAAGACAAATTATCATTCCATTCGAATTTGATCGATTTCTGGTGATAATAAGGAATGTTTGTTTAACTAATATTTGTATATTTTACATTCTACTGAATGTACTATGATTTTATTTTGTGTGCACAAAGTCGCGCACTATTCATTCTATATCAGAAATGCCGCACAGTGTATTTAGTTCACTTGAGTCTTTCTCTTTGTGGCGGAAACCCAGGAATCCATATGCGCCAAACGCAGAGTGGTGGAAGAGGAATCGCGCGCGCGGGGAATTCCTAATGCCTCCCAATGAAATAACAACAGAGAATTTATAAAATAATATGTATAAGTTATATATAATATATGTGATGAAAATAGTTTTTTTGGGCAGAAATTTAATCAGCAGATGATTGTCCATCTACATTAAAATGTTGTTACAATTATTATCTACTATACTAGAATTATATATACTCCTATTATGTTACAAATATATGAAAGAAAGTGAGGGATAGCTTTATAAAATGAGATGAAGGGGTAAAAAGGAAGCATAAGACCAGAACAAGTGCGCTCGGTGTGAAGATCCTGATGCACCCAAAAAAGGAACCAGAACGGCGTGCGTGTTTTCTTCAAATTGAAATCATAATTTTAGTTTTAAAATATGGTCAAATATTAGTAAAATACTAATACTTGATATGAAAATTCATCTAAAGTTGTAACTAAAGATAAACAAAAAATATGAGTGAAAAATATGAAATTCGTGTCAAAAAAATAATTTTATGTGTGATTCGTAAATTTGAGTCCAAAAAATAAATTTTGAGTCAAAAAAATAAATTTTGAGTCAAAAAAATAAATTTTGAGTCAAAATTCTAAAATTTATGTGCGAATCAGAAATTTGAGTGGGAAAAATAATTTTTGCGTGAAAAATTGAAAAATCTGAGTCAAATTTCAGAAAATTGAGTTGCACAATTTGAGTGGAAAAAATAAATTTTGTGTGAGATTTTAAAAAATTTGAGTCAAAAATGAAAAAAATTGAGTGCACATTTTTGGTGAATTTGAGTCAAAAATCGGAAAAATTATGTCAAAATTAGAAAATTTGTGTGAGAAACGGAATTTTGTGTGCCGATTTGGGGCGACCGTATGTTTGGTGCACTATGTGCATTTATTCATATACCAAACTGAACTGCTTCTTATGTGAATGTTGAAGTTGGCGAAATTTATAATGAAAATCCGCTGGGTTAATTTCATGTGCAAATTTATTCTAAATTCTTAACTCTAATGAACAACAAGTGTGGCTATTGAAAAAGGTAGAACGACTGGCTGAAGGTCTTCTAAAACTATATTGAGCGGCTGTGTTGACAGCTAGCACGGAGACGGTGTGAGTAAGCCGACTCACGCCGTCGTGCTCGCTGTCAACGGCAAATTCAATTGTCGCTGGCGGCAACATCCTGGGGGGGAGCCGAATCTTTGAGGCCAATTGTTTCTTCCGGCGTCAACAGCTTGCAGACGCGCTGAATGGCGCGCTTGATTGACCCGGTTGCGGTGTGGATGGTTAGATTTCGGACTAAACCATCTGCGCCAGGGTGAGTAGCGGTTATACGGCCCAGTCTCCACTGAGCTGGTGGCATGTTGTCCTCGCAAACCACTACGATATCGTTGATTTGAATGTTTTCTTTGGGGTTTAGCCATTTGTTTCGAACTTGAAGTGAATTGATGTAATCGGTTTGCCATCGCTTCCAAAATAGTTGCTGAATTTGTTGCAACTGGCGCCATTTGGTTGCCAATGTACCGTTTTCGGTGATGGGCAAATCGGTGGGGACCGATTCAAATGAACTACCAGCCAAAAAATGAGCTGGTGTGAGCGCGAGTTCGTCATCGGCATCTTCGTTCAAAATTCCCAACGGTCGTGAGTTCAAACATCCTTCAATCTTTGTGATGATCGATTGAAACTCGAATACGGACAATTTTTGCACCCCAATAACCCGCTTGAGGTGATGTTTGAACAGTTTGACTGCTACTTCGTGGCTGCCGCCCTGTGATGGAGATCGGGGCATAATGAAATGCCAGTCGATGCCGCGACTGGCCAATATGCTGGCTTGAGCGCTTCGATTCCATACATCCAATACTCGATCGAGTTTGTTCTTTGCTCCGACATAATTTTTCGCATTATCAGATCGAATTGAGCGACAGTGCCCGCGTCTGGCTGCAAAGCGCTCGTATGCATCGATAAAGGCGTCGGTGGTGAGGTGGAGCACTAATTCCAAATGTATTGCGCGGGTGGCCATGCATATGAAAACTGAAACATATGCTTCTACCATCGTTTTGCACCGCCCACTCCATCGTTTCAGTTCGAATGGCCCAGCATAGTCGATGCTGATGTCGGTGAAAGGCCGCTCAACAATGTTGACGCGAGACTGTACGAGCGGTGCCATTTGTTGACCCCCATTTTCCTTGCGATGCGTTTTACATACGATGCAATCAAAAATGGTGCTTCGAATTGCATTTCGACCACCGATGAACCAATACTTCTGCCGCAAACAGCGTGTTACCAATTGTGCACCTCCATGCATGAGAGTGATGTGAGCTCTGCGAATCAGCATTTGAACGAAGGTGGAATTTCCGGGTAAAATTACTGGATGCTTTTCATCATATGATGCATTTGCACTCTGTAAACGACCGCCGACTCTGATAATGCCATCAAAGTCCAAAAATGGGCATAATTTGGCGAGTTTACTCTTTTTGTTCAGCTCGGTACGATTGGCAAGGTATTGCAATTCTTCAGCGTATGCCGACGCCTGAGTTTGCAAAATCCAAAAATTTTCTGCTCCAGCGATTTCTCCACGTGTGACCGGATTGAGTAGAAGAGCTTCGAGGATTTGCGATAGCGGCTGTACGATACCAACTGATTTGGCAAAACCATTTTTCTTGCGTTCGGCTACAGCAGCTTTACAATTTCAAACGAAACGCAAAATATATGCAGTAACCAGAATCAATTGGCTCACATTTTCGTATTTGTTCAACATCCACGACTCTATTACCGTGACCGCAGCAACAGTGGCTCCCTTTTGTTCATGCTGCATTGCTGGCTGAAGTGCAGCGGGCAAACTTGCCGGTTGTGCAGGCCAATCGAATATGCTCAATGGCAACCATTTAGGTCCGTTCCACCAGAGGTCAAAGTTGATGATGTTTGCTGCATCGCAGCCACGAGACGCAATATCTGCCGGATAACATTCGCCTGGAACATAATGCCAAACGGCTCTGATCGATAGAGTAATCGCTTGAACCTCCGACACTCGGTTGGCAACGAATTCTTTGAACAAACACGGGGCCTTGTGAATCCAATGCAAAACGATTTGAGAGTCACACCAAAAATGGGTGGTGATATGCCGATCACCGAGCGCCTTGTGCACTGATTTCATCAATTGTGCTACTAATAGCGCGCCACATAGCTCGAGGCGCGGTATCGAAACCGATTGTACGGGTGCAACACGAGATTTTGACGTGAGTAGGCCGCATCGAATGCCACGAGATGGATCTTTGACTTTGTAGTAAATTGACGCTGCATATGCCAATCCAGAAGCGTCGCAGAATCCGTGTAATTCGAGCTCGGTGTTGCTTACTGAACCCATCCATCGAGGAACACTAACCAGTTCTACTTTCTTCAGAGTCTCGCGGAAGATAAGCCAACGGTTTCTTTTTTCGTCGGGCAATTTGTCATCCCAGTCAAGATTTGCGATCCACAATTCTCAGATGAAAATTTTTCCCCGAGTGATGACAGGAGTCAATAGACCGAGCGGATCATACAATCTGGCAACGTCACTGGTGACTGTTCTTTTGGTAACCCGTTCTGCCCAAGCATTTTCGTCGACGAAAAACTGCAATTTGTCGAGCATTGCGTCCCAACCAACACCAAGTACGGAGTTTTCTTCGGTTTCAGAATCTTCGAAGAGCGTTTTTGAACACCAATCGCTATCAGGAATGGAACTCATGACGCTGAAACTGTTCGAACTCCATTTCTTAATTGGAAAACCCGACTTTTGAAGCATTTCTTGTAGTTGTGCCCGCAGGTCGATGACTTCTTCGGCAGAATCGCCGCCAGTCATGCAATCGTCAACATAAAAATCTCGGCGAGCAACAGCCGATGCATTTGGATAATCGTGTGCAGCTTCGATAGCACCCTGTTGCAAAGCACGAACAGCAGAGTGTAAGGCGTACCGCATGCCGAACATAACGCGGGTCAGGCAATAAGTGACGATGGGTTGATTCGTATCTTCTCGCCACAAAACCAATTGCATCTGATGAAACTCTTCCTTTACCAATACTTGAGGGTACATTTGCTCGATGTCTCCAACCAAAGCAATGCGATGCGTTCGGAAGCGAAGCAGAATGTCGACCAAATTATCCTGAAATTTTTCACCCTTCATTTGAATGTCATTGAATGACTCATCGGATGAAGTAGGCGCTGATCCGTTGAAAACCGTACGGTGTTTTTTCTTCTTGCTTTCAATGCCATGATGCAGCAGAAAATAATGCGGTGCATTTTCATTCACATCGGTAAATGGGTCCATGATTCCTTTGTCGATCAATTTACGCATAAATTCGACGTATTTGCGGTGGAATTCAGGCTTGCGAGCAAATTTAGCTTCCATTGAACGCAATGTACGCAAAGCACGCTTTTTTGATTCGCCCAGTGGCACAGCATTTGGCTGAATTGGAATTGGAACGCAAAAACGGCCGCTTTCTGTGCGCTCGTATCCCTCCACAAAAATCTTCTCACACATTTCTTCTTCAGGCGAACGATGATGACGTTTGGGTAATTCATCCATTTTCCAAAAACGCTGCAACATTTGGTTGAGCTTATCATTTCTTGGTGCGTGCAATTCGACCATACCGACGAAATTGCCGTTGTCGGGGTTTTGGAGGCCGCCAAAAACCACCCAACCAAAACGAGTCAATTGAGCCACCAAATTTGTGTTTTGACTGGCGTGTAGGCTAGCCATGACGATTCGGCTCCAGACATTTGCGCCAAGCAAAATGTCTATTTTGCCAGATTTGTGTAGTGCAGGGTCAGCTAAATCCTGCAGCACATGTTCAGGTAAATCACCAATATCGATCGGATCGCCAGGCATGACTGATGCTACTCGGCCCATAATTAGCGCGCTAACGGTTAATTGGAAGTGACGATTTGTGTTGTGAGGTATCATAACTAGGCGCACGATGCCGCGTGCGTCCAACCGATTTGAATTTCCGACTGGCGATACTGACACATTTCGAGCAGAACGAGGTAGCCCAAGCCGTTGCATACAATGTTCGCTAATCAGGTTTGCTTGACTGCCGCCGTCCATCAGCGCACGCGCAGGTAAGAGGTCACCCGAGGCAGTTTTTACTAAAACCATCGCAGTACCGAGTAATGCTTCCTCGTCTTCGTCTATTTCGATTTCTTCGTAGTCCGATTCAAGAAGTACTGCTGCGCATACCAATCCCTTTTCCTTCTTCTTTTGGTTATCGCAATAAACGAAACATAACAACGGGTGATGCTTTTTGCCAGTGTTACAGTGCAAACAAGGCAGAGAGGGGCAAGCTTCAAGGAAATGCTGGTCACTTAGGCACCCAAAACACACTTTCAATGTTTTAACTTTCTGTGAACGCGGGTATGGGTTCAAATTGATGAATTTTTCGCACTGATCTAAATTGTGCACACTTAACTTGCAAAAACGGCAGGTGTCGGATGCACCGGAGACCTGGTTCACTTTTTTGACGACGACCGATTTGATCTGTGATTGATGAGCTGAGGTAGTAGGCCGACTACTTTGATTGTACGAAGATTGTGATGACGGTGCAGTATGCCGACTGCTTTGGTTTTGCATGGCTTTAGCCAAACCCTTTACGCGATCGTCTAAAAATTGGAACAAATCGGGTAATTTAGAGCTGGTCCGTTTGGATCGACCGAGTTCCCATGCACATCGGGTGTTTGTATCCAGTAAACTGGTCAACTGAAATACGAACATTTGGTCGTACGCTTCCAAATTTGTGCCCAATGCCTGCAACTGGCGTGTCACAGTACGAAACTTGCTCAGTACGTAACGCAACGATGGCAAACTGCTGTCGGATGGCACTGGCTTGAGTTTGGCGAGTGTGGACAGAAGTGAATCCGAGATTTTTTGTGGGTCGTCGTACTCTTTGAGGATAATATCCCATGCGATTGGATAATATTCGTCAGTTCGGGGCAATCCCTCCAAGTGCGTCAATGCTTCGCCGGTGAGATGCGACGCCAAAGCGTTGAATTTGGCGAGTGGATAAAAACGATCGTTATTGTGTACCAATTGCCGGAATGAGTCGCGAAATGTGAGCCAATCGCCGTCAACACCACTGAATTTCGGAATGGTCTGTGTCGCAAATTCCAACCCGGTTAACGGACCGAGGTATGGATAGACAAAAGCCGATGGCTGAGTATTTGAAGGTTGTTGGACCGAAGTGATGCCGCACCGCCGAGACCCAACAAATCATCCACTTGTACTTGTGCTGCTGAATGTCCAGTTGGTGGAGTAGGCGATGCACTGACTGTTGAATGCAACCCAACAGCACTTGAATTCGGTGCACTGCGATTCACTTGAGGAGAACCCGGTGGCGTTGGCTGAACGCCAGCTGGAATCGTTGGTGATGGATTGGTGAGTGAGTTGATTTTGCGCACAAACTTTGCCTTCAATTCCAGATACAAATCTTCGGCATTTGAAATGACGTCACGGTTTGCGTCTACTGCCGCCTGATCCGAATCTACGGTCTGGGCCACGCACTTGTCACGTTCGTCACAAAACTTTTTGAACAAATTCTCCAAACGCCCCAACCGCGTTTCCAAAGCGACTAAATCTGCGGTCTGAAATTCATTGCTCTCGAAGTATGCCGACATTCGAGAGATGCTGGCGAGAGTATCCGCTCTCGTTTTTGCGTCACCCATTTCAAAATGTCTCGAACGTGAAGAACTGTAGAAGGTGTGACTCAACGTGTCGATATCAAAATGAACTACGCTCAATAAATGTTTATCCGTCCGATAAATTGCCAAAAAATCGCAGAAAAGGAGTCTCACTCCAAATAAAAATTGTTTGGCTAATTGCACGGAATGCTATATTTTCAGCTATGACGGTTCGATGAACAATTGCGACTGATTTGGTTTGAATTGAGAAACTCACTGAACGCCCGCTTCACACCGCACACGCGACGAAACTGTACACTCCGAATAACCAATGCTCTATACGGTTTGCAAACGAAATGCAATGTGTGCTTTGTCGCCGACAAATTTACCGCTGAAAATGCGAGAGTTTTTTCACTGACCCACAGAAATTGGTAAACAAATCTCACTGCCTGTTTCTCACCACTGTGACTAATGTCGAAATGCGAATTTGTTTATAAACTGCGATATTTGTGCTCAAACGGTATTCTGTTCGCTGAAATTCACTACACAGAACAAGGTTGCTTTGTTTGGACAATGAAAAAAGTCTACTGCGACGATTTGTGTTATGCGTCGAAACACACTGACTCCGCTCGCTAGAATGTATACAAGATACAGCAACAAAAATGGCGGCGATTGCTCCAACTACTATGCACAACACACACAGCGAGAGTGAGACTTTCTCCCCTTTTTTTGTCTTTTTCTTTCAACTACACTGATGCCACAGCACAGAAATGATCACAGAAGCCGCTGTGTCTGATTTTTATTAGGCCGAATAATTTTTTGTTGAATATTTGCTGCTAAAGAATCACCGAAAATTGTGTATCACTCCACCGGCAATTTCACAACAATGTCTTTTCGTTTCGGTATTGGCGACCGACGATGCTATTGAAACGCAATAGCGAAATCCAATTTCACTGTGTCGATTGATTTTTTTGAAATCCAGAGCAAAAAATCCCACACCTCACTTTTCGAAGGACCAAATGGCGAAATTTATAGGGGACATTGCTGAAGGTTGGCTACCACTATTTGTTTTGGTCATAACTTTGTCAGGAGTGAAAAATTAGAAGAGATTAAGGTACCGTTGGATAGATAATGTCTTGAGCTATAATTTTGCTCAAGAAACATATGCAATTGCTTTTCAAAAACAAAATTTATGGTCAAATTTCTGAAGGTGCTGAAAATGGCGAAAAAATTTTTTTTGCTGCAGGTTGAGAATTTTCAAAATTGTTATTTAAAATGTAAAAAAATCTATAAAATTATGATATACTTTCAATGTTATGATGATTTTATTGCTCTATAAAGCAATTTGGAGCCCAAAAATTACTCTAATTCATCAGATTCGTTGTCCATTTCCTGAATGGTAGTCCAATCATAAATTTGATTAAATAAATGAATTTTCGAAAAAAAGTCATCTTAAATGACTTATTTACTCTTCAATAATGATTCATAAACGAGAAAAACAATAAAATCTTTTATATTGTAAAAAATATCTTTTTTCAACCTGCAAAAAAGTCACTTTCTCAACCTGCAGTTTTATAGACATTTTTACCGAGACTCGCAATTTTTTTTCAACACCACAAAATGCACATAATTCTTGTTGAATCGTGAAGAGAAATGAAAATACTACAAAAAAACGGTTGCCCGACTCTTTTTTCAATGCAAAATAATCACTTTATGACATTCGGCAATAACTAAAATGACAAGTTTTCGCATTAAAATTCATGGGCGTATTGGAAGTGTATCAAAACAAACGCCAGTTCTGTCGGAACAATTTTTAAAAAAGAACAGGCCTCAAAATTAGATTTTCAAAACTATTCCGATGGCGATATGATCACGTATAGTGAAAAAAAGTAACGATTCTCAACCTGCAGCAATTCTCAACCTGCAGCAATGTACCCTAATGAAAATCCGCTGGGCTAATTTCATGTGCAAATTTATTCTAAATTCTTAACTCTAATGAACAACAAGTGTGGCTATTGAAAGAGGTAGAACGACTGGCTGAAGGTCTTCTAAAACTATATTGAGCGGCTGTGTTGACAGCTAGCACGGAGACGGTGTGAGTGAGCCGACTCACGCCATCGTGCTCGCTGTCAACGGCAAATTCAATTGTCGCTGGCGGCAACAGAAGTATTTATACTTTTTATAAATCATTGAGCAAAATATGAATTGTGATTAATTAAAAGAAAGAATTGAATGTGAAGTAATATTTAATTAACAGTTTAAATTTGGTTTTGTAATTTGTTCCAGAAATAAAGTATGAAAATTGGAAATTTTAATTAAGACAAGACGTAGCATGTTAACTCTCCCATGTGAGAAAAATCGACCGTCCTCGGTTGATCTCTTTTTTTGGCAATATTGTAGCGAATCTATTCATACATTTCGAACAATAAAAATAGAGTGAATCGTGATAAGCATCACTGAGAAAATCTGTGCACGTAGTTGTATTCCATGATTTTTCTTCGTGGCCTCGCAATTGTAGAACATATTCAGTTTTGTAATATCGATTGACGACATATTTTTCCGTTGTCCCATGTCTTCAATTGTCCCGTCGTTGATAATTGTTGTAATAGTCGGACTATTCATATACACAGCAAATGCATACATCCCGTAATGAATTATGCTTTTGAAGTCGTATGTTAGGTTGAAGCTGTCAAAAAATGATGTGTTGTAGCTTCTAAAATTATGCGTTTTGTTTGGTTTAATATTTTCCCAATGGATCTCGACATAATTATCACGATCGGGCACACTTTGCATATGGTAGAATCCTAGAGTATGAAGAAGTTCATGTATTATTTTTCCAATCCGAAAGCAAATTATGTGATAGTCGCATACAATATTAAAATTGAATTGTTTTATGGATGTCATCTCTGCCTCCACCACATAGAGTGTCTACGGTCTGCATAAGTTGAGTCAAGCGTTTTGATTATTCCCAAAATATTATAGGGTGTTTTATTATTGATCAATACGTTTGATGCTGGTCCGGTTATTTTAGCTCGAACAATACCCAAGCCAGCTTCATACTTGGGATGGGTTTTGAATTCATGAATCATTTTCATT